TGATTTCAGACAGTTCTTCTCTGCACATCTCTCCAGCCTGCTGAGGTCCTTCTGCAGGGCTGCACAACCCTCTGGGGTGTCAGTCACTCCTCCCAGCTTTGTGTCCCCAGTGAACTTGCTGAGGAGGCATCTCCCCTTCATCCAAGTCATCAAAGAATTAAGATAAAGAATTCTGGGCCCAGCACTGAACCTTTAGAAGACATCAACAGTGACAGCCTTCACTTAAACCCTGTGCCACTGACTGTAACCCTCTTGGGACCTGCTGTTCAGCTAGTTCTCAATCCATCTCAATATCCACTCATCCAGCCCACACTTCCTGAGTTTGCCTACGAGGATGACGTGAGAGGCAGTGCCAAAAGCTTTGCAAAGCAGAAAATATCCACTGCTGCTCCCTCATCCATCCAGGTATTTGTTTCATCTTATAGTGTATCTTAGGTACTCAGTAAGATCTTAAAAAAATAGAGATCCTCAATAATTCCATTATCATCTTCAGTCTTTATTATTACAAATTCTAAGGATCTCACAAATGCTTCCCAGAAGAATTACCTAGTTCCTCCTTCTAAGGCTGTAATAAGGGATAAAGATGACTTCTGTGATATTTCCATCTCCTGTCATGGACAAATGGAACTCAGACTTAATCCACAAGTTTCTAACATAGGCCTATTACAGTTTTAGTCGTCTTTCTAATGCAATTACATGGACAGTAAATAACATTTTCTTCCCACAGTGTTTTCCTCTCTGTAGTATATACTTATTAAAACAAGTTCTAATTTCCTGTCAAAAGTTACCTGTTCTTACATTTTAGATTTATCTGTTCTCATAATCAGTGTGAAGGAGACATGAACCACAGTTTAGATTTGATGTGATTTTGCCTAGAAAGAAGTTATTCAGAATCTCTTGGATATTGTTCATCTCAAAGCAGCTCTGAAAATGTTTCCAAACCAAATGCATTAGTGATTATCTGCAGCTACCGAATTGCACAGAAAGATTAAAAGCATCCTCTTTTCTGTTTAGACAAGTATTTTATGAAGTCTATATATAGGCTAGAGCTGGAAGGAACATCTTATAAAGTGATGCTGTGAACTAAAACTTGGGAATGTCTATACGTAGAACTTCTGATTGAAGTCGGTGGATGTATACCTAACATTCTAATGATCTCATGGTTCAGTCTTCAGGTGTATTTAAGTAACTTCTAGTGAGAAAAGAAAAAAAGTACCAAAAATCTGAGGAGAAGTTTCAGGTGAAGATATATACATATTGAATTGTATCTAACCCATTTCTCTACCGAGCACAGGTTGACTATTGAGGGTGGAAAAGAACAGGAAGACAGAGGAGTGCAGACCATTCAGTCTGCTCATGAAAAAGGGGTCAAACGGAATGATCAATATGTTTAACTTTCCTAGAGCACCAGCCTTTTGCCTTGCTAGAGAGCCTCAAAGGTCTCCCCACAAAAGCAGAAATTTGCTAGCATCTTAAGCTGTTTCACTGCCTTTTACTTCAGCTGAATAAAATCTGAACCACCATTTAAGTATCAGCATCCTAGTTCCTCCAATTGCACCTGCTCTCTGCAGCTCTGCTCTGCCTATTCATTGTTTAGGACAATGAATGGAAAAATACCTATAGTCTTCTCATGGAGAGTCATCTCTGTAGAATGAAACATTTTAAGTATCTTTTATAAGTTATTGGAATAGTAGGCAGGGCATAATCTAAACCAAATCATGGGATTTGAAAATTCACGGCCACATTAAGTTACCTTTATAGGAATCAAAATAAGTTCCATCTGGTTTTTGGTCATATTAATTACACAGAAGACAAGCCAAAATGCATACATTTTCATAGAAGAAAAGAAAAAAGAAAAAAGGGAGGAAATAAAAAAAAAAGCTTTGCTGTTGCAGCTCTCTACACTTAGACAGGATCAAATATGTAGAAGACTATAATCTGCAGAACTCTCCTTGACATTCTTAGATATAGACTCTTTACCAAATATAGATATAGTTTCTTTACCAAATGACATTTAGAATTTTTTCAAACTATCCAATCAATGCTGTCTACTATAAATTGAACTAATTCTTGCTCATCAGGCAAACAGAACTTGACGCTGTTTCCTCAAATAATGAACCTGCCATGCATTGCATTTTTTGTCTTCTCCTCTTTATTTTCATCTACACACCTCTGGATCCCTAAGTTTTGTGTCCAAAACAGGGCACTGTATACAGCAGACATCACTGAACTCCAGGGAACCCCATCTAGTTGAAGACATCCCTGCTCATTGCAGGCAGGAGGTGACCTTTAAAGGACCTTTCCAAGCCAAACTATTCTATGATTATCTGCAATGAATAAAAAACAGCACTTAACTCTCAAACCACCTTTATAGTTGAACTATGACCAACTTTTTGCAGAAATTAAATTTTTCTCTAATTAACCACTACATGAAATTTAAAGTTGTTGCATGTTTCCTTCTCCCATAATCTACAACTCCTTGCTTCAGGTTTATCTGATATGCTTGGTGTTTTGGGGTTTTTTCCTTTAGCAGAATTTTCATTTTTATTGACACACAGTAAATTGTGAGTTAATCACATACGAGTATAGGTGATCAAACAACTGATTTGAGCAGCAGAGCTTTTATTAGCATTGCTGAGAGAACTGAAAGCAGTTTAAGTTTACAGTCCTGCTCCAGCTAGGAAATCAACTGGGGAAAAAAAGACTACTCTGGCAATTAGGCACACTTGATATAAACCAAACATTAATGATAAAAACTGACAATGCTGTCTATTTTATAGTTTTATTTCAGTGTAAAGACACACTTACAGCTGTCCAAAAAAAAGGCCTTCTGCAATAACAAAAGAGAAGTTGTCTGTTGCAGAGCCAAGAGTAGCAAACAAAGAGGGACAGAGCCATTTGCAGAGAAAGCATGAGAATTTTTTATGTAAATCTAATGTTTGCATCTGAGATTACAAAGAAAAAGAGGCAATGCATCTACAGTCAGCACAAATGAGCACTAAAGAAATCCTAAAGTGTAAATATTAAACTGGTAAGAGGATTAATCAAATGCTATTTTACGATTCCAGGTATTATTACAGGCATCAATCATAGCCAAATAGGCATAAGACTTTAATTAAACTTTATTCTTTATTTCAAAAAAAGATTAAAACATCTCTTTGTCTGGCACTCTCATGCTGTCCTTTGCATAACAAGGGATTCAGATCCCATGGAACCTTAGGAGTCACCTACAAAAGGCTGGGTTGAACAATACTGCCTTAGATGGTTTCTTCATTTTGGAGATTCACTCACACTGTTACATATTTTTCAAGAACTCTTAATAGGTGCTCAGTCACAAAACAGCAAGAATGTAGATTTGGAAAGACAGACCCAAGTCTGTACATTCCTATCATTCGGCAGGAAGGACACTTCTCTTGCACTGTAATCTGTCACACAGCAAAGTGTCATAAGCAGTCCTTGAAACCTAACATGTATTGAGACTTTACTCAGTCTTTCAAAGTGACAAAAATGGCTATGTTGCAGTCACTTATGTTTCTTATGCTATAAGAAACAGAAATCCGTTTAATTTCCTTTGAAGGTTACAACAATTTATTACAATATTCTTCATGTGTGTTACAGTTAAAGAAGAAAATTAAAATATTCCATTACTTCTGGTAAAAAAATACAGAAAATTATCATTCTGCCTCAAAGGCAATTCAACCCTCTGAAAGTAAACTCTTGAGGTGCAAGCCCAAAACTATGTGTAGCATGTAAGCCTACCTGCAGCTCCAAAACCCACATACAATTCTAAAGCAAACAAACAAAAAAGAATCAACAAAGCCAACCAACCAACCAAAAATACTCAAAAAAATACCACTCAACAGAAAAATTTTGAAGATTAAGACCTATAAAACAGCCTTGACTTCAACACTTAAACAGTAATTATTAAAAGTTTTATCTACTGCATTCACACTATATATATCAAGCAACAATTATACTTGCCCCTTGTACCTCTGTAATTTCACATGTATAAATCATCAATTACATGGACTATGTCAAAATTGCCCAAGAATGCATGTATATGTGCATATATGTCATTTACCTGTAGCAACATGACAAAATAAATTCTGCATCTACTCAATTATTATAAATCCCTGTAACTGAAATAAGATGCCAAATACACCTTGTTTTTCACTCCTTCTCAAGCAATACTGAAAAATTTGCTCTTTCAGTATCAAGGACCATCACGTTAGAGCTCACTGTCGAATGCACTGTCATTCATGATAAAAATATGTTAATTTTTTTCTCCTTTTCCCTTCCCTCATAACAAGTGGTACACTCACATGCTAGCAAGAACATTTTCAGCTAGTACTAAAGTTAACAGATGAGAAAAAAAACCCCAGGAACAAAAAAAAAAAAACACTAGCAAAAAACTGAACAACAAAGAAGGTCTGATAAAAATTTCAAGTCTGGCTCAGAGGTCATGAGATTGAATTTTATTTTAGAGAAAGATGCAATACTGAGATAAAGACCAGTTGTCTTGTGATGAAGCAAAAATTTAGACCATGTGCAGATACACTTAAATTGAAACAGGTAGCAGAGGAAGAAGCAAATACCAGCTGCATGAAATCAGACAGAAAGAAAACAGATTCTAGATGTTAAGGTAACTGACAATAATTATCCAGTAATATTTTAACTTATTTGCACTTCCTCCTTAAAAAAAGAGGGGCAACAATGTGCACAGAAGTCCTCTATAGAAATACCAGCATGCACAATCTGTTACCTCTGATGACTCTTTACTGATGTGCTCTCTGGATGCTACTTCATGAATAGAATTACATTAAAAACAAAGTGGTTTTAATAATACCTGCTTGTATTAAAAACTAACAACTTGGCAAGCATAAGCCACTAAAGCATTATATGTACTTCATCATACTACTTCTTTATATAATTACAAAACTACTCACAAGGATTTCAGGAAGAAGCTTTTCTTTGCTTAGCAATAAGAGCCAGATACTCACAAAGAAGGGTCTTGGACCAGATCTTTAAGGTTTATCCCACTACGATCCTCGGCAAGGTTCCTGAAGCAACTGTCACTCACTAAAAAAAATAGAAATAAAATTAAAACAAAACAAAATAAAACAAACAAACAAAATAAAATAGGAAATAAAAGAGGAAATTTAAGAATGGAACACAGCTTTTTTGATTAACGAAAAATGCTTTTTGGCGTTGGGCGGAATTTGAACATTCATATATAAAGTCTGATTTTCACTGAGGTTCTACCTAATTCAAAGATACATCATCTCAATGGAAAGTGAAAAACATTGTATCACAGCTTATGCAGAAATAAACTGCACAAATTCCAGGTGGTGTCCTCGCTACTTGTCCACCTGGAGGCACAGGAAGTCTCAAACACGAACAGCGGATGCAAACACTTATCCATACACTTCACAGCAGAGTCTTTAATCATGCACTGATCCATATACTTTACTTAATCAGAAACAGTGAGAGCTCCTATGTATTTAAGTTCATAGTTATTCATGGGATAGCAAAAATGTTTAATGAGCAATAACCAAAACAAGTAATTAAGAGCAAAAATTTATTCAAGCAACTTATAAATAACTTATAAAGTGCATGTAAAGCAGGTAGTTACTGTAATAACTGAAATGACAGTAAATGTCACAGAAGTTTAGAAGAGTATTAGTGTGCTTTAATTTTCTTCACTAATTAAAAGATAAAAAAAAACCAGGAGACCTAAATCTCAAGCTCCAAATCTGTTCTCTTGGCTAAGTCTCTCAGCACATGTACTCCAACCCTAAAAGCCATCTCATTTCTCTTTAATAACACCACAGTCAATTTGAGAGGTGGAAAAAGAGTAGTTGTACAAATACTTCTAGTTCAACACAGCCTCAGTTTAAAGGAATTATTTATTTCTAACTACAGCAAACTTTTGGAAGAAAACAAAGGTTGTGAAATGGAAAAATCAGTGTAAGGATCAATTTCCCTTAAAGGGCAAGGTTATCTGTGAGACAAAGTTTATGAAGAAATGCATTATTGCTCATCTTTCAACACAGAATGCAGCTTCACATTTGGTGAACACGTATGTGTTTAAAATCATCTGCAAAAGCAAGTGTTCCTACTTCTTTCTCTCTAAATGCAAAATACTCTCTTTAATTTACATCTCTAAGTATTCATGTGCATCACCAGCATCAAGAAAATGCAAATCATTCCCAAAATATATTGTTTTCACAGATTACAACACATACAGTGACAGACCTACCTAACATACTACAAAACTGCAAAATGTTTCTACTAGTACCTCTCGCTGGCAATGCCTCTCACAGGCGTGAAACCTGTTAAGTCTGCAGGGAAGGACAAGTATTGGAAGAAAGCATCCCAGAAGAAGAGGCAGGCGCAGCTGATGGAACAGGTACTAGCCCTGGCCCTCAGATAAAGCCTGACAGCTGATGACTTTAAGAGAGGTATTTGTCAAGTGTTGAAACATTCACCTCAATGCTGGAATAACCAATTGATACCCTAAGCTTCTCTGCCCCACTGTCTCTGGATACAGCACCTAACAACTGCTCGCTGCACACAATCCCTGAACGTGGTCAGTCTTTCACCAGGGCTCTCTTGTCTTCGAGGTACTTGTCTCAGATCTTCATTTTAAACAACAACTACCTCTGCTAACTAAGCCCAGACTCTAAACTTGTTCCTCCCAAGACAACTTAATCATTGCCTCCGTAACAACTGGAAAGTTTCCTGTACTAAGTTCACAAGCACTTCTCCCCCTTGCCAGGGAAGCTCTGACTGAGCAGCTTGAGCCTTCAGGAATTTTTAATTTCTATCCCCATCTATTACACTGAACCCAGGACCCTTGAGCGGATCTCTTAACCCCTCAGTTAAAGGAATAATTCCAAGATCAGCACACTCACAAACAACTACATGCTAGATTTTATAGGAGAAAAAATTCCCACCTACATTGATATTTGATAGTTTATATTTGCTTCTTGTCAAATTTGGCAACAAAACAGCAAACAGAACATTTTACCTACAGTCTTGTCATAAATCCAACACTACCAATGTATCAACATATCTCCTAGGCTAACACAATATATCGTGAATAAAAATTATGCTCGCCGCTGTTTTTTTCACTATTGACAAATCAAATGTTTTTTAAGCATTAAATATTTAATCTAAACATGCTGCATTTCTCTAGTATCTCCTCCAATCTGCTCATGGAAAGCAATCACAGTGGTAATTGAAGAAACTAGTGTCATTATCTCAAAAGTTTTTTTATAGGGAAATGAAAAATGACAACATAAAATTATCTTTAAATTAAAAACCAGTAAAACTGGCCATTATTTATCTGTAATTCATTATGTTTAAAACACAAAATGTGTTTCAAATAAATGTTTAAAATGAATGCTAGATTTGCCAGAGACAGCCTTTCTTTTACTTATCTCAACATAAAAATCCAATATTATAACAATATTTTTATGAATGAATTTTAGAATTGCAAACCTTCCCTCTGCTTAGCAGACCTTGGCAATAAAGCCATTTGCTAAAAAGACTAATTCGACATCAAACACACTTTGAAAAATGTATAAACTTGGTCTCCCTGGTTTTCTTCTTTGATTGTAGGAGAGTCAGAACAATTTAAAGCTGCAAATTGGTAAGCAAGCCTCTTCTTAGGATCCTGCTCTAGCCAGATTTAGAAAACACAGGTGCTTCAGATAAATGTAAAAAATTCCAAACCTGGATTTAATAACCGTTAATAAAATGACTACCATGGATAGCAACAGGAGAGTTTCCAGTGAGTGGAAATAATTCATTGGAAAAGGCTGGAGTAAGCTCTCGGTCTGCATACAAGTACAGCCATGCCCCATCACATCCTTGCAAACTCTCACCATAAATAAAGAAAACAAATGTTCAGCAATAAATGCAAGGTGGAAGCAATCAAGCAGAGCAAGTACTCTATTTCTCACAGCTTAGAAAACTTTAAATCAACACTGCACATATTTAAAAAGCAACACATACCCTAACTGAAATGCAAGCTATTTATTTTAAACAGGTGAGTGAAACTGTGATGGTAAGGCAGAAATATCAGGGTGATCAATGGTAGGTTTTAGGTTTGAGGGGAGAACTTTAAGGTTTTAAGGTTTGAGGGGAGAACACGTAGAAGAAAACTTTGCACCACAGCCACAAATTATACCACAGACACAGTTAAGCCATGTCTAACTTCTCTTTGAAGCACAACCAAGGGACACTTTTGCATAGGACATCTATATGAACACAATAAATGTTATAAATGAAATGCAGCCAAAATTTATCAATTTTGATTAATTTATCAAGCTTTACTGTCTTGCTTCAAAATTAAATTTTCATTTTTTAACACTCCAAAACTTTATAAAAGCTAGTATTTTAAGCATTGTTGAGTGGATGGTTTCTGGAGAGATACAGAGCTGTTACGTGTTCCTCTCTACATATATATCAAGTGGCTGAGCCTCTGGTCTGCAGTTCAGCCCCCAGAGGTACTTCCTTACAGATGTGGCAAATGGCAACAAAAATAGCACCCTAAAGTACATTTGCTCCATGGAGTATTGCACATACAATGACAGTCTGTAAGGTGCCAGAAGTGCTCTTAATACACCAAATATTGGCACAAGTATCACAGGCATCAACTGAACAAAACACATCGTCTGAAAAGCATCACAGTAAGGCAAAATCCCTAAACGTGCACTGAACAGTTCAACTTCCAAGTGAGCTGTTATATGTATCAAAGCAAACAGGATTTAGCAATAGCTCAAATTTTCCCAACATTCATCCTACTTCCAGCTCCTGGTTTCTATTACTGATGTTCTGTTTCTGACCCCTGTCTAGTCTTGTGCCCAGGAAGTAACAGAGGTGGGAAGCTAATAAGGGAATACAGTTCTCACCTGTCAACTACACAGCATACAAAATTCCCGATGGAAAGGTTAAAATCAGCATTCACACTCTAATGTGCAAACATCCAATTTACAACAGTTGTGAAGCCTTCCCACTTGGCATTTGTGAACTTCTAAATTTGTCCATGTAATTTTTTTTCCTTTGCTTTCTTTAGCAGGATTTTGAAATGAGACCATACTGAAGAGAAATAGACTATTAGCCTGTTGATTTCCAAAATGAGAAGTTCTTTAACTTTGAAAGCAAACTAGTATTCTTTTCAAGTAGAGGCAGGTCAGAATCTGCTGCAAAATGTATCTTTGTTTTAATTTTATTTAATTTTATTTTTTAAATGTCCTACAATTTGAAAACTGTGTAGCTCTTTGAAAATGTTACTTAATCTCTAACACCACAGAGAGTACTTCCAGCAAAAGAAGAGCCCTCTTTAGATCAAATCACTTCTAAATCTACAGCTGATAATAACCACCCTCAAAAAATTAATAAATATCTATAGTTTGGTAAAGAAAACTAACAAGTTTACCTCCCCCATATCAAAATATGCAATTCCAGAAAACTACCTAAAAAAGGTGCCAGATTTTCCTCTTGGTTCCCAGAACTCAGAACTGCTTTTAGATTTGTTGTGACTACCTGTTGATAAAAATCATCTTGATTAAAAAAAAATGCTGCACTCATGAAGGCAGTCACTGATGCACTATTAGTTTGAATGGACTACTACAACCTTGAACTGCATGCACTGAAGTATAAGATAGCAGTTTTTTACATTTTAGTCTTTTAGTGATAATATCTCCTAAGTTCAGTTCTTTTCTTAGGACCTCTTCACCTGCTCATAGTATTTTTGACAAGACTTTAACTTACTCCTCTTTTTACAGGCTCATTTATGTATTTAGGTTTTATAACAGATTCATTCAGCAGTTAATAAATATAAAAATATTTAGTACACTTGGGATCTGCTGAAAAGTACTGCTCTAGCACAGTGTTGTATTCCAGTCTGGTTTTGCTTGCAACAACCATTATTCAGAAGTCTCGTTCCAGGTTCAGGTGGTTCTGTTCCATGTACTGCATGCAAACATTTCAGGATTCAAGTATTTTGCTTTTATGGGCCCAACCTCATACACAAGGCAGCAAGTACCTTCTTTACCTATTATACATATTGT